AAAAAAAAAAAAAAAAAAAAAAAAAAAGACCCTCTAATATGGCCGCTGTCCCTCTAATCCCATGATAGCTGGTAGCACTGCATTTGGGGTCACACACACCCAGGCTCCACCACTGCCTAGCTGTGTGATTGGGGATAAGTGAACTCTAGCCTCAAGTCCCACCTCTGTAAAATGGGGATAATCATAGTATTTACCCCATAGAGTTGCTGGAGAAATTCCTAAGGAGTGTTTTTGTAACACACTGAGCAGGTTCTGGCATGCAGTGGGTGTTCACTGAAGGCTGGCTGTTACTGTATTCATTTTGTGTTTATTTGTGTTCAGTGGAAGAGAATTGGGTGAAGGCTGAGCTGATTTTCTGGGAACATCATAGAACCCACTGACCATGTTAATCTATGCCACAGATAGGATCAAGCAGCTATAACTTAGAGGAATGGCAGTAGTGGCTTTGAATTTTTGTGTTTTTACTTTACCTGCTGACATCCGGGAGGTTTTGTTAACACCTGAATGTGTCGTTCAGCGGTTGTCATGCAGGCCCCACAACAAACATTGAGAGCAGCTAGTAAATATCAACAGACTGACTATAATAACTTAGGCCAGTCTCTCTGTATCCCAGACTTCTGTAAAATTGGGATGAGTATTAAGAACCACAGATGGGGCCAGGCACGGTGGCTCACCCCTGTAATCCCAGCACTTTGGGAGGCCAAGGAGGGTGGATCACCTGAGGTCGGGAGTTCAAGACCAGCCTGACCAACATGGAGAAATCCCATCTCTACTAAAAATACAAATTTAGCCAGGCATGGTGGTGGGTGCCTGTAATCTCAGCTACTCTGGTGGCTGAGGCAGGAGAATCACTTGAACCGGGGAGGTGGAGGTTGCAGTGAGCCAAGATCTTGCCACTGCACTCCAGCCTGGGTGACAGAGCGAGACTCGATCTCAAAAAGAAAAAGGTAAAGAAAAAAATAAGTAAATGAGATTGTCCAGCCTAGGATCTGATGGGGAAAGTACAGGACTGACCCCCATCTTAGTCCATTTTATGCTGCTGTAACAGAATGCCACACTCTAGGTTATTTATTTATTTATTTATTTATTTTATTTTTTTTTTTTTGGACGGAGTTTCGCTCTTGTTACCCAGGCTGGAGTGCAATGGCGCGATCTCAGCTCACCGCAACCTCCGCCTCCTGGGTTCAGGCAATTCTCCTGCCTCAGCCTCCTGAGTAGCTGGGATTACAGGCACGCGCCACCATGCCCAGCTAAGTTTTTGTATTTTTAGTAGAGACGGGGTTTCACCGTGTTGACCAGGATGGTCTCGATCTCTTGACCTCATGATCCACCCGCCTCGGCCTCCCAAAGTGCTGGGATTACAGGCTTGAGACACCGCGCCCGGCTATTTATTTATATTTTTTTGAGATGGAGTCTCGCTCTGTTGCCCAGGCTGGAGTGCAGTGACATGATCTCAGCTCACTGCAACTTCCACTTCCCAGGTTCAAGTGATTCTCCTGGCTCAGCCTCCCAAGTAGCTGAGATTACAGGCACCCACCCCTACACCCAGCTAATTTTTTTGTATTTTTTTTTTATAGAGATAGGAGTTTCACCATATTGGCCAGGCTCGTCTCGAACTCCTGACCTCAGGTGATCTGCCCGCCTTGGCCTCCCAAAGTGCTGAGATTACAGGTGTGAGCCACCGTGCCCAGCCTCCTCTGGGAAATTTATAATGAATAGAAGTTTATTTGGCTCACAGTTCTGGAGGCTGGGAAGTCTAAGAGCATGGCAGTGTCATCTGGAAAGGGTCTTCATGCTGTGCCATCCCATGGCAGAAGGCAGAAGTGTGACAGCAAGACAGCAAGAGGTGCCCAAACTGGCTTATATAACAAACCCACTCCCTCGATAACAACGTGGATCCATTTGTGAGGGTAGAACACTTGAGCTCATCACCTCTTGGTAGGCCCTACCTCCTAACACTGTTGCACTGGGGATTAAGTGTCTCACACATGAACTTTGGGGGACACCTTCAAACCCCAGCACCTCTTGACCCTGCCTGGCTCTCACTTTGCTCCAGGGCTGCTTGAGCGGCCAGTGCTGCCACCGCCTGTGTCCATTGACACTGCCAGCTACAAGATCTTCGTGTCCGGGAAGAGTGGTGTGGGCAAGACGGCACTGGTGGCCAAGCTGGCTGGCCTGGAGGTGCCTGTGGTACACCACGAGACCCCCGGTGAGTGGAACCTCAATCCTTTGCCCATCCTGGGAGGCCCTCCTTGGGGTAGGGGCAAGAACCTGGCCCTGGACCACACAAGCCAGGGTTGATACCCAGCTCCGCATCCTACTCTGTAGCCTTGGAAAGTCACTTCCCCTCTCTGAGCCTCCATGGACTCCTCAGTCCCAAGGGGATACTAGTACCTAGCCCACAGGGTTGTTGTGTGGTTGCTAGAGGTAGTGGCGGTAACATCCCTAGCATCAAGCTAGGCTCAAGGTAGAGACTCAGGAAATGCTAATCTTGCTTTCTTGTTTCTTACCACTGGATGCTGATTGATCCACCCTGTTGAAACATGCCCAGTATCCTGGGACCTTTGGTCTCCCTGCACATACAAACAAAACTGCTTTGCCGTGGCTGAGACTGTATCTTCCTGGTATGCCAGAGGCTCCTCCAGGGCCAGTCTCTGTTTCTCCCATCAGACTGAGAATTCTCACAGGTCAAGGACTGTGCCTCCCTCATCAAAGTGGGGACCCCTCAGGGCAGGGACATATCTCTTCTTCCTATTCCTTCCTGCCCCCAGTCCTCCACCTCCACCCCTCCCATGCTGAATGGCTGACCCTGGTTCCCCTCAGGCATCCAGACCACCGTGGTATTTTGGCCAGCCAAGCTGCAGGCCAGCGACCGTGTCGTCATGTTTCGTTTCGAGTTCTGGGACTGTGGAGAGTCTGCGCTCAAAAAGTTCGATCACATGCTGCCGGTGAGCAGGCATGTGGGCCTGGGTGGGCTCTGCCAGGGGCCGACTGGGTATTAATGAACTCAAGGCACTGGCTGGGTATGGTGGCTTATGCCTGTAATCCCAGCACTTTGGGAGGCCGATGCGGGCGGATCACCTGAGGTCGAAAGTTTGAGACCAGCCTGGACAACGTGGAGAAACTCTGTCTCTACTAATGACACAAAAAGTTAGCCAGGCGCCTTTAATCCCAGCTACTTGGGAGGCTGAGGCAGGAGAATCGCTTGAACCTGGGAGATGGAGGTTGCAGCCGAGATCGAACCACTGCACTGCAGCCTGGGCAACAGGAGTAAACTCCATCACAAAAAAAAAAAAAAAAAAAAAGCTCAAGGCACTGCCCTGGGAGTTAGAGATCTGAGCTGGCACTGGGGACTGTGTCCCAGCCCATGCTCGTCCTAGGACCAGCCACATCATGCTCTGGGCCTCAGTTCCCCAATCTGTGAAAGGAGGGATTATTCCTGATTCTTATCAGGGCGCTGCAGCTGATGGGAGGGTGACACAGTTACATGCCTCTCCGTCACCAGGCTTGCAAGGAGAACACGGATGCCTTCCTCTTCCTTTTCTCCTTCACTGACCGTGCCTCCTTTGAAGACCTCCCTGGACAGCTGGCCCGCATAGCAGGTGAGGCCCCTGGTGTCATCAGGATGGTCATCGGCTCCAAGTATCCTTTGGGTAGCCTCTGGGGCTGTCAGAGGCCACCCTTGGCAAGTCATGGAGCAAGGGGGTCAGGGGCCTGGCCTCTGCCCAGGTGTGGAATTCAACACCTGGGCTTGTACTTAAAGGGTACAGCATGGCTAGCCCAGCTCCTGGGTGCGGGTTCCAGGGCGGAGGGGGAGGGGGGGTCTGATGGGGGTGTGTGCAGAGGCACCTGGCCAGGCTCCTTGACCCTCCTCCAGATTTGACCAGTACATGCACACGGACGTGCCCGAGCGGGACCTCATAGCCTTCCGGCAGGCCTGGGAGCTGCCCCTGCTACGGGTGAAGAGTGTGCCAGGGCGGCGGCTGGCTGATGGGCGCACACTGGACGGGCGGGCTGGGCTGGCTGACATTGCTCACGTACTCAACGGCCTCGCTGAGCAGCTGTGGCACCAAGACCTGGTGGCGGCTGGCCTGCTTCCCAGCCCCCCAGAGAGTGCTCCTGGATGAATCATGAGTGGGTGCCTATGATCCCGCCCCCAACCCTCAGGTCTTGACACAGGGCATGAGGCTGGGGCAAGAGCATGGATCCCGTCTGGAGGACTGGGCAGCTTGGCCTGGTCAGGGAGGACATGGCTGGAGAAGCCCCGCCAACAGCACTTTCCTTGCAGAATTCATGGCATGGAGATGGGGACCAAGATCCTGAGCTCGGACATCTTTCATGGCCTTCCCCCTTTGGCAGCACCCATGGCGGGTGATGGGGAGATGGGGTACCTCTCAAGTGACTTCAATCAAGAACCTGTATTGGTTGAGGTGACACCATCTGTTGTAACAGATAAACACCGAAATCCCAGTGCTGAACTCCATAGACCTGTTTGTTCTCGCATTGGCTTCAGGAGGTGGTGATAATGGGTGTGGGGCTCTGCTCCAGGTACTCCTGCAGAGACCCAGCCCCAGAGACCCTGCCCAGTTGCCCCAGGGCATCAGCACCCAGTCAGCAGCCAGGGAGTGAGTACAGGAGGGAGGTGGCCCCCAGCTTTCTGTGGACCAGGCCCAGAGTGGCACCTCATTCTGCCCACTCCAGAGGCCAGCACCCAGCAGTCATGTGGTCATGTGGCACTGTGGGGGAGGCTGGGACATGGAGTTCACCTGTGAGGTCAGGAGTGAAGCCCATAACTCTGCAGTGCCTTTCTTTTTTTTTGTTGTTTTTGAGTCGGAGTCTGGCTCTCTCACCCAAGCTAGAGTGCAGCTCACTGCACCCTTCGCCTCCTGGGTTCAAGCGATTCTCCTGCCCCAGTCTCCCGAGTAGCGGGGATTACAAGTGACTGCCACCATGCCTGGCTCATTTTTGTATTTTTAGTAGAGGTGGGTTTTGCCATGTTGGCCAGGCTGGTCTCGGACTCCAGACCTCAGGTGATCCACCCGCCTCAGCCTCCCAAAGTGCTGGGATGAGAGGCGTGAGCCACCATGCCTGGCCTGCAGTGACTTTTGTTCTTTTTTTTGTTTCAGAATCTTGCTCTGTCACACAGGTTGGAGTACAGTGACATGATCTGAGCTCACTGCAACCTACACCTGGGTTCAAACAATTCTCGTATCTCAGCCTCCCGAGTAGCAGGGATTACAGGCACCCACCACCATGCCAGCTAAATTTTGTATTTTTAGTAGAGATGGGGGGTCTCATTATGTTGGCCAGGCTGGTCTTGAACTCCTGACCTCAAGTGATCTGCCTGCCTCAGCCTCCCAAAGTGCTGGGATTACAGGTGTGAGCCACCACACCCGGCCTGCAGTGCCTTTCTTGATCATGAAGCTGTCAGGCCAGGCTTAGGTTGGGAATCCTGGCAGCTCAAGGCATCCGAAAGCAGCACCATGCAGGGCCAAGGACCATCCCAGTGGGAGTCAGGGCATGACCTGGCCTGAGAGGCAGCGCTGCCCTGTGGGAGGCCATTGCCAGGAGCTGGGAGGGCAGTGAGCAGGCCCAGGCTTGTGCCTCAGCCCTGCCCCATGAGCCAGAGACACTGGTCTAAGGAGACTAAGGAGGTAGACTAAGGAGGATGAGGGGAAGGCCCCAGGGAAATGGGCCTTTATACTCTCCCCTCTGATGGGCTCCTGCCCATCTATGGTTCATCCCATGGATGAACCCCTGGGCTGAGGCCTGGCCTGCGTCTGGTCCAAAGCAGAGTTTCCCCAAAGCTAGCTGACCCTTGGAGCGCTGCAGCTCTGCTGAGGCCCCACTCACAGCACCACCTGTGCTCACACACTTGTGCTAGGACGAAAGTGCTTTCCACTCCTGCCTCCTGGCACACACAGGAGGCCCAGACTCACCTGTCCTGATGCCTGTGCCCAAGCACACATGCCCATGCATGCTGCCAGTCTGTCCACCCTGAACACTGCCACCTGTGTTTGTCAACCTAGGTCAACACTGCCACCTGGTTTTGTTTCCAGGGTCTGGGCCAGAGGAAGGACTGATTCCAGCACGTTCTCACTCCTGAGTCTCAGAGCTCAGGCCCTGCACTTATCCCACACCCTGCAAAGGGACCCAAGCCTCAGAGCCTGCAGCCAGCTCCCACTCCTGCAGCCCTCAGCCCTGCTCCCAGGGGGGCCTGATCACATCCCCCTCTGTCCTTAACTCCAGGAGACCTTAGCTCTCCCGGGCAGCAACAGAGCTGGGGTTAGGGCCCTGAAGGCAGCCCCAGGCCTGACTGTAGCCTCCAGCTACCCCACAGCCCAGCCAGTCATTTCTGGGCACAAACCGGGTTTGAAAAACGAGGGTGTTCGGTTTCCTCGTTTGAAATGTAAACGGGGAAATGCATGTCACAGCTCTTTTGAAGACGGAAAGGACCCGCGCGAAAAATGGGATCTGTCCCCTCCCGGCCGAGATCGGGAGCGGACGCGCTTGGGGGTCCCTCACTCTCCCCTCCCGGGAGAGCAGCCCAAGAGAGCAGCCCCGCGTAACGCCGCGCCCTTCGCGAGCTGAGCGCGCCTGGGAGCCGCAGCGCTTCACCGAGGAACTGAACCGGCGCGCGCCGCCGCAGGTGGAGAGGCGGGGCGGGGTCCGCCCGGGGCGGAGTCACCCCAGGGGCCGTAATCCTGACCTTGACCCCAGGCCCGGCCAACCCCGACTCGGACGGCTGGACGGAGCCAGGGCGGCGCCTGCTCCTGAGCAACCCTCGGCCGCAGAACGTGCCCAGCCGGCCGCAGGACTCCTGCAGGGGCGCCCTCCGCAGCTCGGAGCCTGACAGGTGGGACGGGGCGGCGCCTCGGGTGGGCGGGGTCTGCCCGTGGAGGGGCTAGCAGCCCGCAGAAGCCTTCGCCCAACCAAGGCTGATTTGCCCCTCCTGCCAGCGCCTCCGAGGCAACTCCCCCTTCACTCTCTTTAGATCTCTGGGCCTGTCCTTTCCGCAAACTGGGGCCCTGGCCCTGCCTCCCTTTCCTGATTCCCACCTGTTCAATCCGCTCTGATGCTCACCTGACGAACACACCCAGCCCACGCTGCGCTCTGCGGGCAGAAGGGTTCTCTGGCAGTAGCAGCTGGCATGTGTCACCTGCCTGTCTTCAACGGAGAGGCTCTGGATTCTCGTAGCATTAGGTTTCAGATTGGGTGGAGGGCTGGGCTTCTGACCCCTGCTCCTCTCATAGATTCCTGGTTAGCGATTCCTGTGACTGCTACTTCTCCAACACGTGCAGGCACCAAGTGGTGAGATGGCTGCTTGGGGCGAGTCCAGCTGGGACCTTAAGTGGGCAGAGGTGACACCAGGACTCCTCTGGCAAGTGGCAGAGATCCTGGCCCTGCACCTCTCCAGGAAGAAGAAACACCGAAATAGGCATTGCCCGCCTGCTGGCAGAGGGAGTCTACACCGCAGCCTTCCCATTGCATGAGGGAGAGATGTCCCAAGCTCAGATCTCTCCCAGACCTAACAGCATGGCAGCGGTGGCTGGGGCATCCCGAGAGCACTCTCAAACCTCCCTGCAGCTCTCCCTCCTTTTATCCCCCTAGGACCCCTTTGAACTGCCCTGGTACCAGGTACCCGGTTCAGATCTCAACTCTTGCCAATTGCTGTGCCCATACTGGGCTTGCTGGGGATACTGGCATAACTACCGGCCCCTGGACCACGTATGAGAGTACTTTGGGGAGAAGGTGGTCATCGATTTTGCCTGGGTAAGCAAGTCTGGCACTGGGGTGGGGTTGGGGAGTGGAGCTTGAGTGCAGAGATGGGGGTTCATGAATTTTCTCTCACTCTTCAGGTTTCTACACGGCCTGGCTGCTGCCTGTCAGCCGGTAAGCACCTTGGTCTTTATCTCTGGCCTTGTCAGCATGGGGACCAACACACTAGTGTGGGTGGCTGTGGAAGGGTTGGGCAATGGGCTGGGTGGGCCAGGTCATCTGCCTGGTTGAGGATAGGCCCTTCCAGGATGGGCACCCTCTGCTCACAGAGAGGAGATCTGTGTCAGTGTGGGTCCCACTCTGTGATACCTGTGCCACATGGAGTATTTCCGGGATTTGCTCCATGGCCAAGGTGGGCCAGGGAAAGGGGCAAAAAAACCAGGTAGGTGTTTTGGGCCCAACCTGGGTCTGGATGCTGGCCCTACAATGTGCCCTCTCACCCCTCCTTGCAGCTAAGCTGCCTCTTTGACCACTCTGGAACTGTGTTCTTCAGCATCTTCATGGCCTTCCTGGAGCAATGGAAGTGGGGAGTGCCACCTTGGCCCACCACTGGGACTGCAGTGACTTCCAGGACCAGGACGTGATACCCAGCTCAGCCCTCCAGGCCCACAACCCCACTTCCCAGAGTTCTCAGAGGCCATAAGGTGTGCTGGGAAGAGCTCAGGCTTTGGAGTCCAGCATCCCAGGATCCAAATCTGGCTTCTCCTCACACTTTTCCTGGGTCACTTTCCACCCTTCTCTGACATCAGGCTGGGTGAGGTGAAACACTGGGAGTATTTAGATGATCAGCTGGGCCTTGGAGAGAGACCCGCCCTAGAACCAAGAAGGAGAAAACATTCCACCTACCCACCTACCCATCCAGCTACCTACCTGTCTATCCAAACATCTAATCATTGGTCCTGAATCTGTTCACTTCTCACTACCTCCTCTGCCACACCCCAGCCCTCTCCACTCCAGTCCAAGTCACATTTCCTCTTTCCTGGACAGCAGTGACCTCCTAACAGGGCTCCTTGCCCCACTTAATTGGTTCTCAGTTGCCAGGAGGGTGACATCCTGTGTTACCTTCCTCAAAGCCTTCCAGGACAGTCTCATTTGAGATGTACCTGGGAAAACATCCAACCCCCTCACAGTGGCCTACAAGGCCTTGTGTCATCTGGCCTGTGGCTGGTTCTCCCCCACTGGCTCCACCAGATCCTTGAATAGGTCAAGTTCATTTCCACCCTGGGGCCTTGGCACTGGCTATGCTCCCTGCCAGAATCCTCTTCCTTCAACTTTTTTTTTTTTTTTTTTTTTTTTTGAGATGGAATCTTGCTCTATTGCCCAAGCTAGAGTGCAGTGGTGCAATTTCAGTTAACTGCAGCTTCCACCTCCCAGGTTCAAATGAGTCTTCTGCCTCAGCTTCCCGAGTAACTGGGGTTACGGGCGTGTGCCACTACACCTGGCTAATTTTTGTATTTTTAGTAGATGCCAGGTTTCACCATGTTGGCCATGCTGGTCTCAAGCTCCTGACCTCAGGCAATCTGCCTGCCTTGGCCTCCCAAAGTGCTGGGATTACAGACAGATGTGAGCCACTGTGCCCAGCCCCTTCAGATTTTATATGGTCTACTCCTTGTCATTCAAGCCTCAAATGTCTCCTTCTTATAGAGGTTTTCCCTGACCACCAATCCAGAGAGGCTCCCTCTCACTTATTTATTATTATTTTTT